TGGCGGCTCAGTGGTAAAGAATCTGCCTGCCAACGCAGGAGACATGGGTTCAATCCCTGGGTCAGGAAGATCCCCTGCAGAAGGAAATGGCAACCCACTCCAGTATTCTTGTCTGGAAAATCCCACAGAGGAGCCAGGTGGGCAGAGTGGGACACAACACAGTGACTAAACAACAATTACGTATTTGAAAGCTGCTAGATCTTAAAAGTCCTTATCACAAGAAAAAAAAGAATTCTGCAGCTACATATGGTGATAGATGTTAGCTAGACTTGGTATGACCATTTCACAATATATACAAATATCAAATCTTTATGTTGTATACCTGAAGCTAATATATCAACTACCCTTTAATTAAAAAAAAAAAAAAAAGAGCAGTTCCTTTTAGCTTCACACCTTCCACCAATAAAAACAGTATTTTCTATCATCTACAGAGGGATAGATCTTGAGCTATATAACAGCTCGGTATAGGCAGAGGCCATCTTAATTTGTCATATGTACTTGGCTTGGATGCTCAGTGGTAAAGAATCCACCTGCCAATGAAAGATGCAGGTTTGATCCCTAGGTCAGGAAGATCCCCCAGAGAAGGAAATGGCAACCCACTCCAGTATTCTTGCCCAGGAAATCCCATGGACAGAGAAGCCTGGCGGGCTATAGTCCATGAGGTCACAAAAGACTAGGATACAACTTAGTGACTATACAACAGTACTCTACCTAACCATGTCTCCTATGTGTGCATGTGCACGCACACAAACTCTCACGCTCCGTGGCCTACTTAATCCTATGTCACCACTTATTATCTTCAACTCCTCTCTTTCCCTCATTAATGATACCAAGTTTTATTAATTGCCTGTTTTAGGTCATAACCTGTCCACTTCTCTTTCCCATTGCCCGATCTTAAGAGTATCTCACCCAGATGAGATTTTACCACTGTGCCTGCCTCTGATTTCTCCTCCTCCAAGCCAACCTAAAATAGGAGTGCCATTTCCTTATTTAAAACTTTCTAATGGCTCACCATTGTCTTAAAGAAAAGAAAAGAAACTCTTAAAATGGATTGTCTGGGCTCTTCTGTGATCTGGTCCACTTCCTCTCCTCTCAGCCCTTGTTCACCACTCCCCACTTAGCATACACAGTGAGTTGCTTTCCAGGCTTTACACACATGTGTATGTGTGCAGAAGTTGTTTTTCCTGTGTCTAATATTCCCTTCCTCTCACACCAATCTGTACTCATCTTTCAGCTCTCAACTTAAACATCATTTTGAGTATTCTCATAGCCCTCTTCATTTGTCTCAGAAATACTATTCATCATATTTCATAACTTTCTAGTTATCCAAATCTTTCATTAGACACAAAGCAGTAGTCTAGTGTACTCAGAAGAGTGTTTGGCTCAATGACAGCATGCTGATCTTTAGTAAACTAACAGTTTTTTTTAAATGACAGCTAATAATGATTTAAACAAGCTTCAAAACTCTCAATTTGGTTTCCTGTAATCTGTAGGATTTTTACTTCTTAATTCTACTCCAACCTCAGCCCACAACCTTTACTCACCTATAGGGATGTTGCACTAAAATCCATTCTCTTCTTGCATAACTAGACCTGGTTTCTCAAGTAGAGACTACATTTCCCAATGCCTCTTAAGGCTGTATGTATTCCTGTGATCAACCTACAGTCAAAAGAACATGAGAAGCTATACAACTTACAGCTTAGATTTCCAAAGGCCATTCCTTCAGGGGCTAAAATGAAAGCAACCGAGTTATCTCAGAAGACTTGTTTTGAAAATGGCAAAATGAGAACCCAGGTCTTTGAAAGAATGGATGGAGGACAGCACAGGACACTTAAGTGGTGAGAAATATGCTTTGTCAGAGCCATCGAATTTTGGGGTCTCTTTGTTACTACTTTCACTACCATAAGGCCTAATACACAGCATATAGAGATGAAATGGGAGACTTCAGATTTTCAGAAAAATGACATAGACCTAATAAAGATTAAAAATTCCAATAAAAAAAAATTATGATGAACCCAGGGTCATATAAATACAGAAAATAGAAATTTTTGAAACTAGTTAAAAATATCTTCCTTAATGAGAAAGAACGCAATTTATTTGAGACAAATTAATAAAATCAACAAGTAAAAACAAAACGAAAAAGACTAGGAAAAGGAACTTGTGTGTCTGTGGTGCCCGTAGGTAATGTGCAGCTAGGGGAGCAACTAGGATGACTGCCATTCTACATGCAACTTATCCCAAAAAATGTTAGGCCAAGGGTAATGGGCAAATGATAGACAACAGACCACAATCCAGCTTCAGAGGTCACAAACCAACACCAGGCAGGTCAAAGAAAAAATGGGCAGATTCTTATAAAAACACACCACGCTCATATGAAAATAAACTGCCTAAAAGAATGAAGATCTTAAAAAGATTTTTGAAGATTTAAAAACTTTATAAAGATTTTTAAAGAGTCATGAGGAAAATGACAGAGAAAATTTAAAAAACAACAACAAAAAGGCTCACTCTCCTGGTAAAGAAGCTGCTTTAAGAGCCCTTAGGTTCTCAGAAAAGAATTTTAGCTACTAGCAACGCAATAAAACAAATGTATTAGAATTCCATAGTCACATTTATCTATGTCAGGGCCAGCACAAAAACACCTACTACTAAAACCAAAACACCAGCTTTAAACTTATCCAGTGGTGAGTAGAATTTTAAGAGCTCCAGTTCTACACAGTTTCAAATGCTGACTCTTTCATTTACTGGGTGTCACGACTCTGGGTAAATTACTTAACCTCTCTGGGATTCAAGTTTTCTTACCAGTAAAGGGATATTCTAACTCATTTAGCACCTTCAGTAGAACCGAAATGGTTTAATGAAATAAATCATGTATTTTTTATGGAAAGGATGTACTAAGAAGCCATTATTACTGTACCCACTATACTTTCACTCCAGTAGGCTTTTGTACTTTGTTTTTTAGCGAAGATTTTTATTTGGCACTGACTTTGAAACAATTCAAGTTTCCTTTAAGTGTGTAACCTCTTACCGTGGTTTCATCAAAAAGGCCACACTATAGTGTACCTACATTTGCTAACAGCTTACCAAAGAATTTGAGTCACTTCACCTCTGCCACTCTGATAGTCTTAGAGAAATCAGGTATTAAAAGTACCTTTTATTTCACAATGTATCTGTGATGCATATCTTAAAACACAAAATGATATTCTGATGATGAAATGCTTATCAACCCAGAAAAATGAAATCTGGGTGCTTAAAAAAGGAAAATGTATGGTGCCAACGGCTCCACTTTCATTCTCATATGCCTAGCAACAACTATAACACTGTAAACATTCGTACCAATATCTAAGATTCTTTTGCTATAAAACTATCAAATGTCAATTGCTTTATATTTTCTAAGGGTTGTTCATGATTCTCACTCTGGCAACTGTTGGAATAAAAACCACAAGTATATTACTAATATTCATGGCATAAACTCCAGGTCTAGGTAGTGAATGCAGACTGTCTTCTCTTCAACCTACAAATTTTCAATTAGATGACTTTATCAACTGAATAGGATACTGATTTGCTGACAACCTGCCAGGGAATGAGAATTTTGGCGAATACAAACACAATGGACAAATGAATTTTTTATTATAAAACTATACAAAGAGCTATACAAAAAGTGGTAAAACTATAATTGTTGGTGAACAGTAAATAAGTGATCCTTTGGGCCACAGTAAATGATCCACACTATGATGGTGTGGGAATCTTTTCCTAGATGAGGAATAGTATACCTAATAAACAACACATTACAAGTAAAAGGACTTTAATGACTCGAGCAAAAGTATACATAAAATCACTTCTAAATGTAATTTGAAGGATTTTTTAAAAAGCCATCACTGGACTTCCCTGGTGATCCAGGGGTTGATTCCGTGCTTTTACGGCAGGGGGTGCAGGTTCGACTGGTCAGCTAAGTTCCACACGCCATTCAGTGCGGCCAGGAAAAAAAAAAAAGCCATCACTTGCTTGGATTCTGAAATTCAGTTTCAAATTGTATCTGTTATTTCCTACTCCAATTTATCCTTCTTAGATAAGGGGGTGAGAGCAAACTTTTTCTGTAACAGAGGGAAATAATCAGTAAATAATTTAGACTTTGCAGGACTTACATCACAACAATTCAACTCTGGTATTCTAGTCAAAAGCAGCCAGAGACAACTTGTAAACAAATGGGCATGGCTAGTCCAAAAACAGGCAGTGTGTCTTAGTCTACCAACCTCTGTTCCAGATGATCTCCACAATTTGGAGAAAGTGGAAAAGGTAATTATATATTCCAATAATTAGGATAAAGTTTTTTATATCTCCAATATTTGACGTTACAAAATATGCACATGCTGCTATCCCTAAGGTTAACACTAAAAAATTAGCCATGTTTAATATCTAAACTCTTTAAATTAAAAGGATCAATCACATATAAATTTAAGCCTTTAGGGACTTCTTGGCAGCCCAGTGGTTAAGACTCTGAGTTCCCAGAGTGGGGGGCATAGGTTCAATCCCTGGTCGGGGAACTAAGATCCTACACACTATATGGTGCAGACAAAAAAGAAAAAAATTAAGCCTTTATGAGAACTATTAGTCTGAAGTATCTTGATAATTAGAAGGAGATTCACTTATAGGTTAGAAGTTTAAATTAGAAATATATAAATAATTACTATTTTGAAAAAAACAAAAAATACAGAAAGGCAGATTTTAGGAATCACAACCCAACGAAAATACAGAATTATCGATCATAAAAGATGTTTTAGCATTTACTTACTTTTTTTACTTTTTCAGCTGTGCTGCACAGCATGTGAGATCTTAGCTCCCTAACCAGGGATCGAACCCACACACACTTGAACTAACCCACGCCCGCACACAGTGGAAGCACAGAGTCCAACCACTGGACTGCCTGGGAAGTCCCCAGTTTTACCATTTATAATTACCCTACTTGGAAAATACTCTGCTAAGAAATAGAGTAGTAAACACAGTTGGTTTTGAAGTAATGACTTTATTAATAAATATACATCCATATGATGATGTAGATACAAATCATGAACACTACTCCATTCCCATACACATAATTGCACACGAGTAGCTCAAGTTCATGGACATAAAAACATATACAGTATCTATTCAGACTTTTTACAGCAGAGGACAGCGTGCTTATATCAGTTAACTGGTAATTATTTTCTCCATAATTATCTGTGGAAAAATGAATCTGTGAAACTAAAAGAGTTAAAGTGGTCTGATTACTATAAATCACATACTTGATTTACTGTAGCATTAAATTTTCCAAAATTAAATACATTATATGTGAGAGAACAGATTTATCTACTTGGGGGGAGTAAGGGGAGAAAGCAAAGGAAAGATTTAGATACATCCTAGAGTTTAACAGCATATAGTTAAGATATAATAAAGAGAAAAACATAATAGCATCAAAACATCTTATGTCAAAGGGAAAAAAATGTTTCGAACAACTGTTGTGAATTCTTATGTTTTACTATAAAGGGATCATAAAATCTTACTGCATATATAGACAATGACTGACAGAGTAGCAGTTATTGTCAACATCCCCTGAATTGTTCTTTTAAAGCTTCTTTGAATATAAAAGTTCGTTGTTTTTTTTTTTCATTGAGCTCATACACTGGCTTTTCCTACATTGTATGAGTCACCTTTAACCTAATAAATGGATCCAGATCATTTCTTTTGCTCTTTAATTTAAAAAAAAGTTACTTATCTCATGAAAAAATACATGTAAATTCACACAACCATCAGTTTGGAATTAATATTACCTTTACTACCTTAACAGATGTTTCTTTTAAAAAGTAAATAAAAAATATAAAGAAGTTTTTAGTAAAACTGAAACACTGATTTTTAAAACATCTCCAAATATTTAAAATTAATCAGATACTTTTTTTTCAAGACACTGTGCTAATTTTTTTTAATATCCAGTGCAAAACTCCAAAGATAGTATCAAAATCATCCCACACTAAAGATTAGTTATGCAAAGTTATATCTGTCAAAAAATGAAAATTTCATCTGTATTAGCTCCTAATATGTTGATATAAGAATAAATAAGGCATGTTAAAATATTTTTTAAAGAAAAAAGTAAAGCAAACTTACTTGAATAGCAGATCATTTTCTGACCAACATTTTAAATATAGAATAGTGAAACCTATTTTGTGAAGAACAGAATTACACAATATAAAATTAGCAATTTACCTTTCAAGGAACAAGTATACAGTGGGGGGGGGGGGAAAGCCAGTTCCCCCCAACTGATTATATTAAAGTATAAGGAATTATTTAACATGCTATTTCAGTGTTTATCATGACAAGAGACAGTGTTACAAAAGATGCACAACATAGTCTTTGTAGAGAAGTAAAAATATTTTCTATGTTAAGACTTCATTCATGTTATCACTTAGATGTCTTTCTCTTCAACATGGCACCAATAAACTGTTCACAAGGAGAAAAGGAAGTAGAATAAGGAGATGCTCCTCAGCATACAGATCTAATACTCCAGGTAACTTCTCATAAAACAGAAGATTCAGCTTTCTAAATGGAGTTATCCAATCACTTTTTTTCCTGGAACTAGCTCCTGATTATTAATAAAACACTGTTATGGACATAACTTCCTTTAGTTGATCTCACCATTTCATTAACTTGTATGTAAGATTCATCATACAATACTACACCTGTTTATCTTCTGACACACAGCACAGCACCACTAAGTAGATGTGCTGGAGGATGGAGCAACGGGAGGGGAACAAATGTAGGAAAACGCAGGGAGAAAGGGCATGTGTAACAAAATCAGGAAAGAAAATAAAACTGAAAGGGAAACATCAAATGGGCACACCATAAAACACAATACACAGGCAAACCCCTGACTATGATATATGTAATTCTATGGGAGAACAGTAAATTAAACAACTGCTTTCAGGAATTCAAACAAGGACTTCTAAGCAGCCAACTGCTGAACATCATCTTGAGAAACAACTGAATGACCAATACATAATAAAAGTGGATGGATGAACATATGAATACAGATGTAAGCATGTGTGTGTGTCAGAAGTTATACTGTTCTAAGTAGATTTATATTAAAACGTTTGTATTTTAAGCTTCTGTAAGAAGAAACTATTATAGCAATTTAGCTGCCAGAATGTTACAACTAATTATGTAGTCATCCAACATTGCTCTCTATGGTTTGTGCAAAGCTAAAATTGTTGAGGTCACTGTCTTAGAAGCCAGTGCGTACACAGTCCCCACATAAAATGCAACACCTCTTACTGTAAAGAGCAGCATAAAGTCCAGCTCTTTGTGTCAGGCATCACTGGAACACCTGAAGGCTTGCTGCTTCTTTCCTGATAAAAAAGTTATGAAACATGACATCCATTTGCAACCAGAGTTTGCATTAACTGAGAGCAAACCCAAACAACATAATATGCGCCCTTTGAAAATTTTAATTATTTTAAAAATCTGGGGGTTCTGCAAACCTACATTATAATTTCAAAGGCATTTAAGCTCACAAATACATACACAGCAACTTTAAAATTCAGTGGAATTTTTTTTCCAAATCCAAATTAGATTTTTCCAAAATCCAATTTTTTTCCAATTCCAAATCCAAATAATAATCTATTTAGATCAAACTCAGAATTAAAATGTATATTAATGAAGACTGCGTTCAAAAATAGGGACAAGACATATCCCTCTGTCCCATCTATACATGTCTTCCCAATGTTTTTTTTTTTCTTTCCTATCTATCTTGCTTCTAAAGCAAAATCTGTTGGAAAAAAATTTATTTTGGATGAAGTGGTCTCACTAGAGCCACGATGAGATTCTTAATTAAACTAATCAACATATTTCTTACATGTTTCATGCATAGATGGATTCCTATTTCTTAATATTTGGGTTCTGACAGTCAGAAAACTGCATCTTGTTTGTACCAGTTTTACAGTCTACCATTCAATTTTCGTCCTTTGGTAGATATAGACCTGAAACCACAATAAGTGCTAATGCAATGGGACAATTTATCAGAAAAAATTAAAAAATATTTTTTAATAAATGATTATTAAACAGTGTTTTAAGCATAATGCTTTGTAACTAAGTATATAAAAGGCAAAATGTATTAACTATAGCAACATGCAGACCTTAAGAATATTTCTTTTTCTATTATATTAAATATGCTATTCTCAGAATGCATTGTATTTCACCAAAAATGTAATGTGCAGTTTTTATTAAAAAGTTTAATTTTTTTGATAATATGAATTGTTTGTAGTGTTTGGTATACATGCTCTTAGGCAATTAAAAAATATACAACCTAAACATGGCTGAAAGGCAAATGCTAAAGAACTTTTAAAGGAATAATGGTTAAATCAATTAATGACATGTAGATAAATAAGAAACTGTTTAAACCTAGAACATTAAAAATAAGATTTTTAAAATATGAAGTCTATGTAAATGCCAAAGCATATATCGGTGTCCTGTTTCATGAACATAAATGTTACCAAAACAACCCTCCAGCCACGACCTCAAGTCATCCTGAATCATTAGTTTTGCTTTGTTCCATCAGTTAAAAATACCTTAGATATTATCTTTATTATATTGTAAACTAACTTCACAAACTAATAGGTATAATGGTTTCAACTGTGTAGCACATAAAGCATTTAGAATGACAAAAAAATAGTAATGAAATGAGATACAACCATGACTCTAAAGGAAAAGCAAAAACGATTTAGATAGGTGTTACACTTGAACCTATGTACAAATACAAAGCCACTGCTTATGCCTTGAGTGCATCTGTCAGCATGTGACAGTTTCTGAGCAAAAGCAGATAAAAAAAAAAATCAAATGGGAAAACAAATTTGGAAAGCCCAGGCCATATCATGTATGTTGAAATAAAACCGAGAAGCTTTGGGATTACATAATCTTCCTTCTAAACCTGGCCCTCCTTTCCTGCTCACTCACTCACTGGGCGGCTTGATTTCGCTGCCAGTCTCCTCCACCCCATGAACAGCTCTACCGTGTATCATAGGGTAAGGAAAAGCAGCAGTCCCACAGCCATAGCCAAGATCGGCAAGACGGGATAGAGCTTTAATGCTACCTGGAGGTCTCCCTGGGCTGACTTTGTATCCTGCAGCTTTAGTTGTACCCAAAGGTCTGCCTGGACTTGTTTTAAATCCAGCCGCTTTGGTGGTTCCCAGGGGTCTGCCCGTGCTGGTCCGGTATCCTGCTGATTTGGTGGTTCCTGAAGGCCGGCCACGCTTACCAGATCGGTTGAGATTTTTCTTTTTCTTTAGTTCATCTTTTATCTCTATGCTTCTGCCACCTGCAGTCTGCAAGTGTGTCTCATTTAATGGGTCTTGCCTCTGACAAACCATTGGTTTGTGGCTGACTGTGTGGCTGTATTTGTTTTGCTGGGAGGAATATATGTCAAACTGATCAGCAGCTCTCATGGCATCTTCATTGAGGCAGGAAGGTTTGCCAGGCCCACAAAAAGCTGGATTACTGCTGGCAACAGGATGCATCATTTTCTACCAAAAAATAAAGGACAAATATGCATAAATACACATATACAAATATATATCTGAATGACAGCATTTAGTGGGAAAACAGTCAGTCAGTCTCCCAACAACTATGCAGACTCTCTAAAATTAGCTGACAGGCAGGACTCCAGACCACTTATAAACAAACACACATCAGCAGATTCAAAGATACTTCTTTTTTCTCAATTTAATCGCCGGTAAGCATAAATGCCATGGAAGATAACTAACACCAGTACTGATTTAGTAGTCATAATGTTTTCTGCATAGGAGTTAGAAAAGTGTGTATGCAAAATCTGTTATATTTTGTAGGTTTTTCTTTTCTAGAAAGTCCGAAAAAAGATAATAAATATAAGAACTGTTATTAACATGATACTTTTTTTTTTTCTTTAGTTTCCCTAACATTCTTAGAAGGTCTCCCTTTGGCCTTTCATTATATTTCCCCCATGTATACTTCTGATCCAGCCAGTTTTCAAAGGTGGATGCTTCCTCAGCATTATCATAATTTATTATTTATACAAAATCCTGAGTGTATGTTACATTGTATAAGGACAGAATGTGCCAAGCAAAGAACACAATCTGTTGGCCGTAGGTACTGACTCCCTTCAAACTGCTCTATCCAAACAGGAGGCAGCACCAACATAAAGAGTAAACAAAGGTTTCCATTAGCTAAAATAAGTGAACATTTATAAAACAACTGAGGTTTATACTAAAAAATACGTGTAACAATCATAATGCAATACTTTAAGTGTGGTTATCAAGACGAAATGCTGAATATGCAACACTGCTTTGTCCCTTGGCAATAAACATGGCATGAACCTTTTCCCCTTATAAGAGCTCTGTAACTTACAGTCCAATGACTCTATTTTGTCTGTGAAACATCCCTGTGAATTGTATCTTATTTAAAGGCTGTAATATGACCGCCACAATGACAGGTCAGCTCTAAACAGCCACACCATCTAGAAACACAGAAAAAGGGAATCTATACAGACTACAATATTTCAATGAGCTTAAAAGAAAAAAAAGACATTGGTTCTAATTCATATTTAGAAAGAGTCACAAAAGTCTATGAAGGTTCAGCCACAAGTTGTTAGATATTTGACTGTACCTTTCATAAATGTTAAAACTGTACCAAAACCCCAGTTATGAAAATAGTTACTCCAAGAGGCTAAGAACATATAATTAATGCGAGCCAAAACCACTGCAAATTTATTTCAATCATAAACCTAAAAGGAAATGGGAATCAAGTCAAAGAACTGAATTCAGTTACATTACTAAATATTTGCTAAAAATCAACAGATACAGAGCCATTTTCCAGCTAGCTTAAAAATCTTAACTATGAAGGAAAAATATTTACAGTGAGAAGCTACTTGTTTATGGAAGAAGCCTTATAGATCTGAGAACATTAAACAAGACCGGAGCTAAACACAAATATTAAAAGGAGTAATTCCAAACTCATTCCCCAAGCATATAATGAGAAGGAGGTTATTAATTATCATTTCATTTGCTCAAATTCTAATTTCAGGTGAGAAATAAGAGATCATCAAGATATGTTCCAAATGTAATACTATTAACTGAAAGTTACCAGTTTTTGAGATTTTTTTATGTGCCAGGTAATAAGTTTGGCACTACATCTCAACTCTATCATCACTACAACTAAGCTTTATAAGAAACATACTACTAGCTCTATTTTAATTTCAAGCAACTTGCCAGGTCACACATTAGGAAACAGTAAAGCCAAATACAAATTCAGATAATGTGACTTTCAAATCAACAGGGTTTCTTCATAGGCACAATTATTATTTGAGTCAGATAATTCTTTAGCTAGGGTGAAGGTGGGGGGTGTTCTGTGCATTTTAAAATGCTTAGCAGCATCCCTGCCCTCTACGCACTGCACTCCCTAGATGTCAGCTTCTGTACCCTCCTCTTTTCCCTTTCAATTTGTGACAACCAAAATATTTTCCAGACGTTGCCAAATATTCTTGGGGGGGTGGCGCGGGGGACAAAATCTACCACTCTTCATGAGAATCACTCAGCTATACTAAAATGAAAACACAAAAGTCAATTCAAAATACTTCTGAGGACTTTCCTAGTGGTCCAGTGATAAAAGAATCTGCTTGCCAATGCAGGGGACAAGGTTTGATCACTGGTTCTGGAAGATTCCAATGCCATGGACATCACAGCTACTGAGCCCGCACCCTAGAGCCTGTGCTCAGCAACAAGAGAAGTCTTTTTCACAATGAGAAGTCTGGGCACTGCAACTAGAGAGGAGCCCTCTCTCTCGCCACAACTAGAAAAAGCAACAAAGACCCAGTTCAGTTCAGTCGCTCAGTCGTGTCCGACTCTTTGCGACCCCATGAACTGCAGCACGCCAGGCCTCCCTGTCCATCACCAACTCCCGGAGTTTACTCAAACTTATGCCCATCGAGTCGGTGATGCCATCCAAATCTTGATTTCAGCTTGTGCAAATTTGGCCTTGGAGTACAAAGACCCAATGCAGCCAAAAATAAATAAATAAATAAACAAATACTCCTGTCAAAATTTTTATTCAACTCTTAAGCTACTACTTCCCTGGTGGCTCAGAGGTTAAAGCCTCTGCTTCCAATGCGGGAGACCCGGGTTCAATCCCTGGGTCGGTAAGATCCCCTGGAGAAGGAAATGGCAACCCACTCCACTATTCTTGCCTGGAGAATCCCATGGACGGAGGAGCTTGGTAGGCTACAGTCCACGTGGTCGCAGAGTCAGACACGACTGAGCGGTAACTACTTTGCTTAACTTGAAACTACTACCTCTTCAAATATCCATAAAACCTTTCTACTGATAACATCTACAACATCTAAATCAAATAGATTTGTTTTCCAAATTGAAAACATGAATGAAATTTGTGAAGAGACCAACCACATTCCTCTCCCCTACAAGTTATAAACTAATTGAGAAATATACACAGGACTTAGATAGGAATCAAAATACTATTTTATTGCCAATAAAACTGGACTAGAGACCACATGCAAATACAAAGAGAAACACACTAGACCTCTGAGCAGATTGTAAGAGAAAAAGTGATCCCTTTTTCTTTCTTTTTTCTGGTCATGCCTTGTGGCTTGGGCCACACAGTGAAAGCACAGAATCTTAACCACTGGACCACCAGGGAATTCCAAAAGTGACTTTTTTTTCAATTTTATTATTCAGAAATCACCCTGCTGGAAAGCTCTAGTATAAACACCCAGAAAGGTACCAGTCCTCTTCCACAGAGAGTACTGCCAGTAAAAGAGAAAATGGTTTTTTTCCTACAATCTGTTGCAATATTTTATAGTTCATGCCTTTTAAGTTCCTATCACTAACCAAAACCTTCCCTCTGGACCTACTTCCCTTAGCTTCATTTTCTCTTAATATATCAGAACATTCATCATTTATCATCACTATCATGATATATAGTCTCAGCTTACATTATGTTTAGGTTTTCAGAAGCAAGATTCTGCCATATATTCTTTACTCAGACACCAACACCATTCAACCAACACTGAAGAAAAACACATTTAAACAGTAGATGGACAAAAAAAAAAAAATTCACCCATCTTCAACTCCTTTAATCTCAGGAATGTATGCATTTGGTTTGTATTATGCTTTTTTAGTATTTTATTTATTTATTTATCTGGCTGCTCCTGGTCTTAGTTGTGGCATGTGAAGTCTTAGTTGCTGCAGCATGTGGGATCTAGTTCTCCAACCTGATATGGAAGTTAGGCCCCCTGCTTTGGGAGCACAGAGTTCCAGCCACTCAACCACCAGGGAAGTCCCGGTGTGTATTACGTTAATTTACTTCTGATATGGCTCATTTTTTGTAGAGGGCCAACTCCATGCAAAACACTATTCTAAGAACCAGGACACAAAACAGACAGGAGTAAAGTTGTTTATCCCAGTTAAGACAACAAGATCCTTACTTAAAAAAAGATTTCTAAAGGCTAGTTTAGAAAGGCTCTATATTTTCCTTCCCTGCTAACACCAAAAAATCAGTACAATTCTTTCCTTACTCAATAACTAATTAACAAGCTGGAAAAGAAATTTACTAGGACTATTACCCATGTAAATAGTTAATTAAAAAAAAGAAACAGTTAAAACCAATCCTTCCCTACTTTCAGGAGTCAACTTTTTAAGATGGGAGTTAGCATCATTAGATCCTTGTGTGCACAATCGTCATACACATAAACATACACAGTGGTAGGTGCATGTTGAATTGATATGTTTGTACATGGTATGTACACATTCAAGCTTTAATTGTACACTTAATAATGCCTCCCTGGTCCCAGATCAGGGCTCACCAGATAACTGTTCTTTCTTGACTCTTCGGATACTATAGTAAAGAGTTCACTGAAAGCAATGCAGGCCTCATTTCTTAATTGAGTTAGAATAACTACTACTATAACTACTACATTTCTAGAAAGTTTGAACTGAATGAAATCCAACAATACAAAACCAGACTGTGAAGACCAGCAAAGGTTAATAATCTTTTAAAATAGTTCACTGAATATAAGGAAATCAACTAAGTGCTTCTATATATTTTAACAATGACTAAATTAGAGTTCTCTTTTTTCAAATATTTGTTGGACTGTTCCAGGTCTCAGTCGTGGCATACGTGAACTAATTCCCTGCCCAGGGAACGAACTGGGCTCGGTGAGTCGAGAGCATGGAGTCTTAGCCACAGGACCACCTAAATTTGAATTCTTAAAGCATATGCTAAAACTTGCCATCCCTGAAGTTGTTTTACTGTGCATTTAAGCCCAGAAGTCTTTTCGTGAGCTGTTCTTTATGAAACAATTCATTTTCCTTCTCCTGAATGTAGCAGTCATTACTGCCAACATAAAGAACTACAACTATTTTTAGTAACTTCAGAACGTATTCATTTTTAAACATGGAGAAAATTGTCCTTTCAAGAAATCCAAGTCCCGCTCTCTTCTAAAGAGCAAACACATAATTCTCAGAGGTTTATTTCATGCCATTTGGCTTGTAACAACCATACAGAATCACAGGCGATTTTATAATTCTAAATAAAAGTCCATTTGTGATCGACTTCACTCAGAAAATCTATTAAGCAAAGGCTAAAACAAATACCAGTAGCCATGCACTCTGCCCCACCACGGAAAGTTTTGATACTAGAACAGAACATAAATAACGGCCTTCTTTGTCTTCTTTCTCCTCCTTAATTGTGCCCCACTGCGCAGCTTCCCCGGTGCCGGAATTCTTATTTGACAAGAGACGTGTTGAAATATATTACCTGTTGTGCCCGAAAACGATTTATTAGTGTATCAGCAATAACAACTTTGCAGGAGATACACGCCCACACTAGAGAAAGGGCTGTGTAGCCTCCGATAATCAAAATTGATAGCCCGCCGTCGTGCACCGGAGTTCTGCAAGCTGCACAAGTCACAGGCTACTCCATCTAGATGTCCATCTCGAAGTCGGCAGGCATTAATTTAAAGTGGCGGGGGGAGAAGTGATTCTGACCTCTCGAAGAAAAGAAAGGGTGACCCCCTTCCCCCGCCGCAAGAGGAATTTCCCCCCAATAATGGCTTCAAGCCCAGCGAAGACCAGGCTACAAACCGGGGCCCCTCCTCTCGCTCCGGGCTAGGCCAGTGCCCCTTCTTAGACGCGGGCCGGAGACCTCTTCTCACCAGCTGGCTAGGCCCTCATTCTGGCCTTCTCCTTGCCTTCTCCACGAGCACCCGCCGCCCAGACTCTGCCCCCGGCCCGTCTGACAAACGCCCGCGCGTCTACTTACCTCAGCCGCTACTAGCCCGGCCCCTCAGTGGGCCCAGGGGCTGCCCATCGGCTGGAAACCTCCCGCTGGCGCCGCTCCTTTCCCAGCCCGACGCCTCTATACTGCGCTGAGAGCCCGAGACGGAGGGAAAAGCAGCGAGGGCGTTGGCGGCGAAGCGGACGCTGGTTCCCAGGTCCCACCGCAGCCACCGCTCACAAATATGCCCCGGACGCAAGAGGAAGAGGCCGCCACAGCCCCGTAGAGCGAGGTGCGGCGTGCGCGAGCTCGCGAGTACCACGCACGCACACGCACGACGCGAGACCCAATCTCCCGCCGAGGACCAGCACGCAAGCCTGGGGAAGAGTAACCCAGGGAGCCTGACTGCGCTTGCGCGGCAAGAAGACGGCAGGAGGCGGGGCTTAGGCCGCAGCTACTTAGACTCTGGGGCAGATCGCGCTCTCCAAAGGCTAATAACTTCGTGAAGTGGATTTTTATCGCACTTAAGTGATACTGGATCTATTACTGACCCCATTTTTCAAATTAGAGGACTAATAAATGGTGGAGCTAGGATTTGCACCCAGCATCCTGTTCTAGAAACTGTTTTTAATTGCTGTTGGCAAAAAGATTGCCTTATTGTTCTAGGCGCTGCCCAAAGTACATTGAAAGGACCAGCCTTTTAGCGGGGTGAGGTCTCCACCTGCAAATATTAATAAAATGGGGAATATTCAAATAATTAGGTGTTGAGCCCTCAGTCCTAGGGTCATGTAATAATGAAGTCTCATTTTGTGAGGCTAACTTTAAAGGTTAATAATGAAGTTTTTATATCCATGATCTCCTCTGAATTACCATATTCTTCATTCCACCATTACAGGGATAGGACAGGTAGTTTGCTTACAAGATCTCCATTTATGTAGCGACTGCAAGATTTCTGACTTATGGGTCACCTCATACAATCCAATTTTGCAAACGGTATTGTTTCCCCAGTTCTTCCGTCAGTTAATTCAAAGATGTCAGAAAGGGGAGGATTCAGAATTAGGAAGGCTGCTGAGCAGAAGATATATATTTTTAAAAGCATGGTTGTTTTATGTTTTAAAATATTTTTCCCAGCCACACCAGGCTGCTTCCAGGTTCCTAATTCCTCGACCAGGGATCGAACCCAGACCCATCAGTGAAAGCGTGGAGTCCTAATCACTGGACCACCAAAGGATTCCCAGGAAGGCAATTTTTCTGGCAGTGTGGCAAAAGCCAGAGGCAGGTACTTGACCCTTTTGTCCATGCAATGAACACTGTTTTAAGGATATAATTCTTAGCAATGACTTGTACCATGAGTACAGCATTTGGCCCAGTGCTGCTGCCAGCTGCTGCCAGCAGGAAATAAAGGAAGGGTAACACCTTTTCTGGGTGAACACACAAGGAGGAACATGGCAGTCCATTGAGTCACAAGAGACAGATATGACTTAGCAACTCAACAAAACAGCAGCAGCAACAACACAAACCAGGAGGCAACCCAAATAAGAGTACACAGAACAGGCGAGCTCAATCATTTTCTGGCAAGCAGGGTTCTGTAACAAGATTCTAACTCTCAATCTATAAACAATCCTACAAAATACTAGAAAACAGGACTGATCACACTGGTATTGTTCACATACAAAAGAAAAATACCAACACAGAAAACAACTAAAACATATACAGAGATTTTAAGGCACATGAAGTAGCCTTCCAAAGACTTTTTAAAAACAAGTTTTCTCTAAGCAAGATTTCTTTTTTATTCTTGAAAGGGAAAAATAAGAATGCACTGTAGTGCTGCTGTACCATGACTTTTCCAGATCCTTAATTTTTGTAACTTTAAATTTTCAACCAAAATTGCATTTATATATAAAACCACTTAGGAAGAAAACTTGTCAATGCCCTGGTGGTCCAGTGGTAAGGACTCTTGCATTGCCAAAGGCCTGGATTCAATCCCTGGAGGGGAACTAAGCTCCCCACAAGCCGTGAGGTATGGTCAAAAGGAAATTTTCCTACCAGTAACATCCAATGATTTGCCGGTCCAATGGAGAAGCAGAGGAACAGAGGAAGTCAGACATTCACAGGTTTGGGACCTTGGACAGTATGTGCGCGTGTATGCCTGTGTGTGTATATGCACACGTGCATACACACGCTCAGTCACAGCCCACCAGGCTCCTCAGTCCATGGGATTTTTAAGGCAAGAATACTGGAGCAGGATGCCATTTTGTCCTTCATCTTTCCCACCTAGACAGATTGTGTCTCCTGCACTGGCAGTCGGATTCTTTACCAACTGAGCTGCCTGGGAAGCCATGGTACCTTGGACAAATCACTGCTTTTTCCAAACGCTTCCACATGTGTGAAAATGAAGGTAAAGTTAAAGTACTAAGAATACAAGACAGACATAGTCCCTAGAAGCTTACCTTCTGGTGTAGCAGACAAAAATGCAAATAATCAAAATACAGTGTTAAAAGCAATAATCTGGTATTTTCAGATAATTATCTGAAGTTGGTCTTAATGAGGTACTGTAGTACATGGAACATGGTAGAATGTACAACTAGTGCTGAAAGAGGCTTTTTCAAGAGCATTTATCCTCACTTCATTTATAAAAAGAGCACACTTATTTAATTGTCACACTATTTGACTTATATCCAAACATTTCTTCTTCAAAAGTGTACACCTGTGAAATACAATTTGGACTCAATTCAACATTTTGTATTCCTTCTCCAACAGCCTCAACCTGGCCCAGAATAGGCCAAATCATACAGGCAAACCATCATGATAAATGGTGACTGTATACACTCGAAAAGGCCAAAAAAGGAATATTCAAACAGAGTGGGAACTGGCTGCCGCTTAAAGACCTTTCAATTAAAGCAATGAGTGTTCTAAAATGCTATTCATTTGAACCGAAAGATATCTATAGGAGATATGAATTTCATTTTCTAGATTTTGGTTTATCAGTAGTCACTGACTGTCCTTGCTAGTATACAGCCTATAGCAACACTGAAAGATACAGCAATACAGAAAGAAAACTTAAGAAGAAAATGCAGATGAAACTGGAGCCCATTATACAGAGCGAAGTAAGCCAGAAAGATAAAGACCATTACAGTATACTAACACATATATATGGAATTTAGAAAGATGGTAACGATAACCCTATATGCAAAACAGAAAAAGAGACTCAGATGTATAGAACAGACTTGTAGACTCTGGGAGAAGGCAAGGGTGGGATGTTTCAAGAGAACAGCATCAAAACATGTATATTACCTAGGGTGAAACAGATCACCAGCCCAGGTTGGGTGCATGAGACAAGTGCTCGGGCCTGGTGCACTGGGAAGACCCAGAGGGAGCGGGTGGAGAGGGAGGTGGGAGGGGGGACCGGGATGGGGAATACATGTAAATCCATGGCTAATTCATTTCAATGTATGACAAAAACCACTGCAATGTTGTAAAGTAATTAGCCTCCAACTAATAAAAATAAATGGAAAAAAAAAAAAAGAAAATGCACTCCCATACACCCATTGTAGTAACAGTACTATTTATTTAGGCCTGTTTTTATATGCTTTAATGATTTACATGTATTATTTCATTTCATCCTCACAAAAATCCTAAAATAGGTATTACTGTAATCTTTTATGTGAAAAAAGACATTTTAAAGCATTTAAGCAACTTGCCAAAGGTTGTCCAAGTGTCCCCAATATGTGAATTTACTTATGTATATGAAATGTTATACTAAACTGTAATATTATACCTGATATATCATGTAATGACATAAAATCTACTCAAAAAATTCAAAGGATGAGATGTTAAAAATGAAATACAGAGGCTCCAGTATATTCTCCCTGCTTTCCAATAGCTTACTGTTACCCACTTTGGAGACCACTGCTTTAGATAATAGCTAGTCAAAACCCAAGAACAAAGCAAAGTGAAGATGCTCAGTGGCTTTCAAATCTGAGTATGTATCACAGAATCATTACCATCCAGACACACTTATAATAGCAACCCTAGACTTTTTTATAGTTGCAGAGGAACTTGTGTTCTCTTTAAGGGCATCTCTCCCGTTTTTCCATGGAGCTTTCCAAATCTGAGATTTAGGCCAAGGGTTGGCCTGGGGGATGACAAGGATTCTTCCAAAAGTCTACAGTACAACTCTGGGAATCTCAGCTCCTAGAAGACTCCCTCAGGCAAAGGCATGGAAAGAAAATATTACCTTCAATATTACCTTGACATGGCTGGACATGGGCACCTGACAGCCTCCTAGAAATTCAGGAATAAAGGTCAAGGACACTTTTAACACTCAAGGCTGCTAGAACTGCCAGGAGTTGATAGGTTGCAAAAAATCCACCTACTACCAAATGCCAAGTTCAAATGACATGTTTTTGCTGTGGACAAAGAACATTTTTCATACTGAATCCTCATATTTTCTTTATTCCATAATAAGCAAAATTGTGAAAACAGACTTAATATCCAAAATGCATCATTTCCACATATTAAAGACAATTAGGATTTTCTTAAATTCTGGAACTCTAGGTTTTACAGTAATCCTGGTGATATCTGAGAGAGCAACTCTGAGTTCTAGTTTTCCAAAGGCGTTAAAACTTTTTTATTTCACATTTTTTTCCCTCCAGAAGAACAAGGTTAATGCAAATTTAGAATTTCTTTTTAAAGGTTTGGGCTTCAACACCATGAACTTCTATAAGCTTATGGCATATCTAGAAGAGGACAAGGTCAAGAAAAATAATCGTAACTAAATGTTTTACCTATCATGTGACTTGAGAGTATGCACTTATATACCAGTTTGGCCATAAAGAACCAGAAAGGTGAGACCACTGATACTGCAGTGGGGGCATTGAGAGAAATCGTTTATTTACACTTTTCTTTCCATATTTCTACTTGGACTCCTACTGAAATAAAATTATAAGTTGATACAGAAAAAAAAGGACCTTCAAATATCTGCAATTGGTAATATTGCAGATACAGCCAGCAGGGAATCTTTACCCAGTAACAGAAATGCAAGAGCTGGCCTAAGAGTACAGCACATGTTTCAATAAGTAATGTGTGAGATGCTGCTATATTCCAAGTCAAACGCCTCACCCCAGAGAGATTTTATTAAGGTTTTCTGGTAGTTACAACACCTAAACTGAGTACAACATTAAGACATTCCCTCTACCTCTCAACACATATTCATTTGTTCTCTTTCTCTTTATATTTACACATGTATCTTTTTAAAAGATTAACTTCAGTTTTTCACGCCAGAGCAGAAAGCATAAAAAAATGTCAATAGATTCTGATTCTTATATAAAACTACGTACCAAAATGAAGAACTGGAAGCTCCAGACTCAATTCTAAGAGTAAAAGTATTCTCCTGGATCACATTGGGCTAGCCACTCAGAATTTATGCCTGCTATAAGAACTCAGCATCTGTCATCTTATAAATGACCAAAATGGGGCTAAGTAAATAAAACACAGTTGTTTACCCTGAACTTCATTTCAATTACCATCTTCCCCCTCAACTTCTATCTCAAACAAGAGGTAAGTTATCTGCCACTAAAGGACGTTAGCTGGTGGTTTTATAAAACAAAGCAAGGCATCATAGGAAAAAAGAGTTATAACTTTAGAGGCTTTGCTCTCTAGGCTGTGATTTTTAAGGTGCTGGTGAATTACTTAGAAGTGGACTCCACAGCTGGCTTCATGGGATTTATAAACCCCAGGCATTCAAGAGCTGGTTCTGCTCAAACAAACAAAAAGTTCTTTGCATGCAGGATCTGCCTCCTTCAAAAGAAAAACTGCAGTCACAGGTGCACAGTGACTACCAGCTGAAGCTTTGGCATACCGACAAGGCTGGTAAGATACAAAATATATCAGATAATAAAGTGTCCAAAAGGAGTTGGAGAGAATCGAGCCATTATCATTTCATTCTATATTTCTATTTTTAAGAATAAGCGTCACTGTGATAAAACACCAACTGGCAAATGAACCCATTATTTCACCTATAGCCTATCTTATGCCAAATATAAACACCATCAAACATTAAGAGGCTTCTTTAGGAAGATATTTTTGGATAGAATTATGTATTATGGGTTGTGAGAGTTTTTTAATAGAGTATAATACTTCTCTCACATGCCTAGCAATGTAAACAAAACTAGATATGCAGCAGAAAACATTTCAGCAAAGATAATTCCAGGAAAATGCAGGCTAACTTTATTTTATAAGGAATTTTTAAAACATGAGCAAATATTGATACTGCATTTTTTAAAAAACAAATTAATCTGTACGTTATTCAAATTTTAAAAATCAAAGAGTCAATGTGACACTAAAAAATGTAGTAACAAAGAAATGTGCTTCATTTTAACAAAATACTATCAGTGGCTTATGACAGCTAGATGTACAAACATAAAGGTAATAATACTAAAATGATGTAAAACTATGAATCTCAAAGTGATGGAGCAGGCTGAAGGGAGCACCAATTGCCATCAATGTGGGACTGTGACATAGTCTATCAAAGGAAACAAACTATCACTAAGTAATAAAAATAAGGATATATATAAAATGGTGGGTGTGGAAGAGCCCAAGATGCCTAAAATTTTAGAGAAAATGATTTATTTGATTCTATTGTTACATGTGTTTTATCTGTTTTCTTCCTCAAGTAAAAAAGTGGATATGTGAGAGATTCAAGAATATACCTGAGATTTTCAGTAAGGATAACTTCAAATTGAAGAAATCATGACTGATAGCTCCTGTCACTTTAACCATCTAATATACTATTGAAATAATTTAACAGCTATAATACACTTTGGGTTTTTTCGTTTTTAAAAGCTCTAAGTCAAGAATACTCAAAGGAACTTCTGTATCTTTTAAGAAATACAACTATTTAATTCCTGAAAATTTTATTTTTTCAAAGACTGACAACCACATGAAGTTCTAACACACCAGGAGTCTGAACATTAGGTGATCCAATTATCACAATTTAAATTAGGATACTCAGGAAATAGATATCAAGGTTCAAAAATATAATTTATGATTCTTTGTCAACTAAATTTCACTGAGAAATGCTTAAAGTCTGTCTAAAATGTGGGTGTCATGCTTTTTTTTAAAAAAAAAGAAAATTCACAACCTACTCAATAATCCTGAAGAAAAATCAATTGGTAGGGTGTTTATATGTACAGCTGTATAAATGAACACTTTAACCGGGAAAAAACAATCATATTCATATTTACAAGTGACAAATCACTTTCACTTCAGGAAGATTATAAAAGAGCTAGTAGATAGGCACAGAGCCAGAGGTTGTGAAGGGAACGTAAAAGCAGTCAATACTAAAATTCTTAGCAGTGTAAAGGAACGTGAAAAATTCTTATACTACAAAACTTTAATTTAACAAAACCAAAAAGCAGTCCAACTATGACCCTTATAAGATGATAAAAACTGAAACAAAAGCTCTGAGCCCATTTTGTAAAAATTCTATTGCAACATTCTTATATCCAGTTCATATTGTTCTACTGACTCAAGTAAGATTTAAGCTCAAGGTAGACATAAAATTAGAGAATTTTACCTTTTCTGAGGAGATGATCACAATTTCATTGCAAGAAGATAAGGTGAACAACCCCTTAGCAACTTTTATAGTTTATTATCTTCAGTGGAAAGTTCAAATATTTTAATTGTCTTAAACTTCTGGAATATTACCCAGATAGTTAAAATATTGATATTTAAGTTTTACATTAAAGGACACTTTAATGAAAACAGGCCTGCTTTAAATAAGAGTTTCGTAATTCTGCGGGTACTCGCAGAAAGATTTGTTAACAAATACTGGTTTCTTATACTTAAGAAAAAAAAATCAGCAAGACAGAATTTTAAAAATCTTAATTTAAAATACACTGTAAACTGAAGACAACAACTGCCACATTTATCACAGACCAGCACAGGTAAAAGTTTTTCCCAGATGTTTTATAAGACTTTGTATCTTCCTTTATTTGTTGGTTGGTATGAATTTTGCTACAAGAAAAAATAAAAGGCATATGATTAGTAAAAGGAAAAGGAAATAAAAGGGAAAAAAAATACGTTAAGTTTTCCTTTACAAACTTATACAACTATCAGATATTTAAAATAAAAATATTATTGAAAAAAAAATATTATTGAGTGAGAAAGAAAGAACTATTTAACAATTATTTCTCTGTGTTCCCTCAACTACTCCTTAACAACGGTTCTGAACCGACTGAACAGTGGCCACGCTCTTTTCTATCACTCCTTGGTAAAAGTCACTTGATTCAAAGTTTGTTTTTATTCTTTCCTCTTGCTTTGTTTACATTCCATCCTTTAAATTATTTTTATCCATCGAAAGAATGTTCTGTAAGGGAAATTTTAGAAAAGCCCTAAAAAACACATTCTTTGTAAAGTTTCCTTTCAAAGGATCCTCATCCCAATGTACACACTGTAGGGAGAATTTACAAGAAGGTGTCTGCCTCCTTTGGAAAGGTGGTCTATAAAAGGTCTATATTCAAAATCAAATTAAGTCCATACCTAAGTTTAAAATACTGACAAACACTTAAGTTTAAAAACAGTGGCAAAAATGTAGAGAAACTGGAATTTTCATACACTGCCAAAAGCAATGTAAACTGGTATAACTACTCTGAAAAATTACTTAGCAATACCAACTTAAAGCTAAACTATACGTACCCTGTAACTAGCAATTCTACTTGGAGGCATTTACTCAAAAGAAAAATATACTGAAGTGTACAACAGAGACATGGAAGAATGTTCAGAGAAGTGTTATTCATAAAAACTCAAAACTAAAATGACCTCAAAATCTGAAACATAAATTAACTGTGGTAAATCCACGGGGTTAACTACTATACAGCCACAAAAATAATAACGGATATATGTAAAAACATGGATTGATATCCTCAAAGTAATGTTGAGAGAAAGAACTTAATATACAGAAGAGTCCACAGCATTTGATTCCACTTATACGGAGTTCAAAACCAGGCAAAACTAATCTATGATGTTGAAAGTCAGAAAGTCACATTTGGGGGCAATGAACAGCAACAAGGAGGAACATGAGCAGGGTTTCTGGGATCCTGGTAACATGCTCTACTTCCTCATCTAGGCAGTGATCACACCAGTGTGCTCAGTTCGTGAAAATTCATCAAACTATATCATCTGTCTACTTTGCTGTATTTCTATTAAATGGCTAAATAAAACATTTATTAGAACAAACAAGTCCTTGAGGTTTTCACTCACCAATCGGATCAGTTCTTCTTTTATAAGCCTGGTGATTTCTGCCTTCGCTTTCTGCACAGCCAGTTCATTGGCACCTGGTGAGTGAGTGGAGAACATTATTCATATTACTGGAATTACACTGGATGTTTATCAGAGTCATTGAGATCCAATAGAAACACTGTAGGTAACTTTCAGGAACACTGTACTACTTTCCAAGAAAAGTCTTTCAACACCTGGTGGAACATCATCTACATTGTATCATGGCTGCTTATTATTATGATTACTTTTAAGAGTTTCAAATGTGAGCACTGAGCTTACTGCTTAGAGGGTTAAGGTCAGTGAGGTACTCCTGTTACAAGTTCTTGGTATATTGGTATGCAAAGAAAAAATGATTTGCAATTTGTCCAAAATAGAAGAAGAAAAAGGAAAAGGAAAATACACTTTCCTAGGTTCAGTTATTTAACAAATACTTATTGGATGTTTATTATGTTCTTTAAAGTCAGCAAATGTTTCAGAAATGTGCCATCTGAACAAAGTCTTAAAGTAGGAGGAGGAGAGATGACAGGGAAAGTATTTTACAAAGGGAATCAATCATGCGTGAAGTGGTACAGATTAGGAAAGGCATGTTTAAAGACCGAAGAGTAAGAGAAGTAAAGTATGGTGGAAAGAAAAAAGTGTGTGAAAGAACACAGCAAAACAGCCAAACAGATAAGGGAGGCTGGAGACACTTGTATATAAATTCAAGAAGCACCCATCATGTGTGGTATACTGTATGAGATTCATTACACAAAGTACTCATCTATGCTCTGTGTGATCCTGTAGGCTACTAGAAAAACAAACTTGGAACAATATCACAGCAAAATAAGTACATTAGGAAGTAGTCTTATCAGAGGAACTTTCAAATAGCATTTCTTCCAAGAATCTTCCCTAACTACTCCAGGTGGGGTTAAGTGTTTCTTCCCTCAGTGCTCTCACAGGATTGTGTTCATATCATCCTGAAAACACATTTTTGAGGTAGAATGACCAAAACGTTTTTTCTGATTAGATGTGAGCAGTGAAGAAGAACAAAGTAAGATGCTAAGAGTTGAGTTACAAGTAAAGAAACTAAAATGTAATAAAGGAGATACCGAATACAGATGCAAAAATCCTTAACAAAATTCTAGCAAACAGAATCCAACAACATATTAAAAAAATCATACACCATGACCAAGTGGGCTTTATCCCAGGAATGCAAGGATTCTTTAATATCCGCAAATCAATCAATGTAATACACCACATTAACAAATTGAAAGATAAAAACCATATGATTATCTCAATAGATGCAGAAAAAGCCTTTGACAAAATT